CCGATCTACCAAACACCTAGCCCAATGTCTGCACGCGTCCTGACGTAGTACGCGGCATACATCATCACGTCATCGTTCATTTATGTTATTATTTTTGTATTACTGTTTTAATTTAATTTTTATTTTAACTTTTTTCATTTTATGTTCAATGTATTGCATTTTTTGTTTTTTTGTATTTTTTTTTTTTTGCTCATATCAATTTTGTAAATAAGACATTAAAGTCTTGATTAACAAAAATAAATTGTAACAAAAAAAAAAAAAAAAAAAAAAAATATTTTTTGATACCAAAGTTTGATTGATGGTATTAATTATTTTTAGCAAAGATTACGGTTTTGTTAATTTAGTTTGATTTCTAACTTTGTTATCTAACATAAATCATAATTTAATAAACATTTCGTAAAATATTTTTTGATTTATTTATAAATAACCTTAGGTGTCCGCCACTAGGAGACTTCCCCCTACATCTTTTCCCTCTACTTTCAAATATTGTTGTAAAAAATCGAATACAGATGAATAGGCAAAACAAAGAAAAAACAGAAAAAAATTATGAAAACAAGCTCTTTGCTCAGATATGAATGAAATAAACTGATTTGTATTGAAAAAATGTATTGATTCTTCGACAGTGTTAAAACTAATTTACAATTTAATTTCAATTAAGATTGATGTCTTTCATATAATCTTGTAGAGGACCAGTTGCACCGGCAGATAAAAACATGGTAGAGATTAAATTTATCAAATTCTTTATGTCCAACCATAATTTCAACTCCCACTATTAAAAAAACTGAATTGCCTCAACGAACATTACAATAGCTAGTTTCCATTCAGAAATGTAATTTAAATTAGCTAAAATTATACGACAAGCGAAAGACATTTGTAGCGTGATTTCTAAATTGAAAAACACTAAACTTTAATGAGCTTAAGATTTGAAATTATATTAATTATATACACTCATACATTAAATTTCTTTTCCGCTCTCTTTGTCATAGAAGAATATAAAATACAATAATAATATAGACAATAAAATTAATAGTAAACAAAATTTAATTTAAATTAATCAGAAAATTGTTATGGTATTTTTCATCTAAAACTAATTGAAAATCGTTGAATTATGTATATGTATCCCTGTAACGCTATAACTATGTAAGTCTTCTTTGTGCGTATTCAACACTAAAATTGTCTGTACAAAATCCCATGATGTACGAAATGTAAAAGTAAAAGTAAAACGTACTCGGTTCAAGAACGGTCAAGTAAGTCCCACATAATTTTTTATTTGATTCATAATAATGGGGTTGATCAATTATATCCATAAAATACAAGTAAGTTCTTGTTTTGTTATAAAATTATTATACCACAGAAATTAATAAATGTACGAGTATATATAATATATATCGTACGTATAATAAAATTAATTTCAAAACCTATTTTGTACATAAATTAGTTGCAAATGAAAACGAAGAAATTATTTTAAAGAAAACTGAAATAAAAAAATGAAACTAAACTTTTCTTGAATATTTACTAATTTATATAGGGTAGGGCGGGGCTAGTTGAGCAATTTTTTACTTAAACGGATGTAGCTCCTCAATGAAAAGTCTAAATAAATTTCTATACGGCTTAATGGATTTGCTGTTTATCGCTTAACAAAAGTGTTAATACTATTTTTTGGTAATAAGTGAAATTTAAAAGCTACAGCTGTTTAAATGCAAACAGTCAAGTATGCTCAATGTACCCCATAGGTGGGGCAAGTTGAGCACTAAGAAAATATAATGAAATCATAGGTTTAATGTCGATTAGTGATGAAATAAAATAAGTTTTTAATAACCAGTTCTATATTTATAGTCTTTATTGAGAGAGAAAACAAAACTTATAGTAATTTGCTTTGAATAATTAACGAAAAGTAAAATCAACAAAACAATATCGTATCTTTGGAATTATTTTACCATTATATTCAGTATTTTTGTTTAAAATCATTATTACTCATAGACTTAGCTTAAATCTTAAAAATAATAATTAATTTCTGGAAGTTAATGGTAATTGTCTTAGTGACAGAAGAAGTTTAGCAACTATGCTCAACTAACCCCAACTCGGAATTTCGAAATAAAAGTGAGTTTATAAAAAAAACATGAGAATTATACCCAGAATCTCTGTGCATATTAAAAGTACTATAATTATATGGAAGAATAACATTTACCTGATTAAAAATAAATAATATTTGGCTAAACCAGACAAAAACTCGTGATGAATTACTTTTTTACTTTTTGGTCTCAAAATAAACAAAACGCCCGTGAGCCTCACTCATTTGTCAAGCGGCCACTAGCAATCGCGGGATGTTTATTTCTCCCAAACCTCTATCTTTCCGCCATATAATGCCTAAACGGACGGTGAATAGTTTTCGAGATATTTCGATTGCTTAACTTGCCCTTATGCTCAACTAGCCCCGCTCTACCCTATTAGTATAACTAGGTTAGAGCGGCGCTGACTAGCTCAAAAACAAGTAAAGTTAAGATTTTTTTTTAAAATATTTGAAAGTAAAGGGAAAAAAATTATTATCCAGCCATCACCTTGATCCTTACGACTTCTTTCGGGAAATAAACGGCAACATTTGAAAATCCAAAACAAGTGTATTTTATTTCGTAGTTAGTTTAGAATATAAATAGAATATAAAAAAGTAAATTAAGTTAAAAAAGCAATTTTACAAAAGATAAGTTAAATAAATATTTAATCCAACTCTGCTGATCATTTTTTTCTGACAAAATAACAGATCAAGGTTATATACAGTGTTATACAGAAAATGTGTCCTTACAACTTTGCATTGGTTGAATAATGTAGCTAGTATTTCGTAAAATTCCTTCAAAATAAAAAATATAAATATTAATCATGGCAAAAAAAAATGCTTTTATGCAATCATTGCAATAGAAATTACATCCTACATATTGATCGCGAATAGACAAACTGCATCTTTTAACAAAATGCGAGTCTGTTTTTTAAGACTACACATCTGAAAAAAGCAATGCTGTTGATAAAATTTCACCAATCTTACACCGAACAATAGTTTTGGGTTCGCAAGTCACGTATATTTATATGAATAAAAATCATAACCCGTAAACAATTCTTTCAAATCTTCCCACACTGAAATCAATTTTCGCTTATCAAAGCGCATAAATAAAAAAAATAAATCGAAGCAAGTATTTTTGCAGTAATTAGTATTAAAGTTAGCAATATATATTAAAATAGTAATATAAATGTCTATTTTCTATCTATTATTCAAAAATATAGAGATGAAACATATATTGCAATGATATTTCCAGCAAAGCACCTTTAAATATTTTCTACATAATTATCCGGATGAATTGGCAACTCCGGCAGCGCAGCAAATGCGATATGCACATAGGCACTTAGCTATTGAGAAATTTTATTGAACTTTTAAACTTTTATGTATTTCACAATATTCTAAAGATGAGACTGGACACGATTGAAATATTAATAAGAATAATCGTATTTGATAAAAAAGTAGCTTGTATTTCGTTTATTTTTTAAAAATTGAATAGGATGTTGAGAATTAGGAAACTGGAGAAATAATAAATAAACAATTAGTTCCAATCAAACATTTTCAATTTAAATTAAACAATTTAAAGTCACAATTACCAGAAAGTTAAAACATAACTATAAAATGTATAATTCAATCATAGTTAGAATAACCAAAACAACCCTTATTTGAATAAATATATTTACAGGTACGAGACATATTACAGCTCGTATATGCAAAACATTTTTAAGAAACTTACGTTTCAAAACAATGATACTTGTACTGTTTTATTATAAAAACTGGTGGTGCAAAAGGCAAATTGCTGGAACTTCCTTTACCAAAAAATGAAATTTAAAAAAAGCTTTAAAAAGCCTTTCTAAATAATAAAAATTACCACAAAAATCAAAAATGATTATAGTTTGACCAAAGTTCTACGTTTTAGTTAAGAGCTCACAATTATAAAGCACGAGATAATTATATATGTATATATATATATATATATATATATATATATATACATTTATTTTATTTATTTATACATTGGAGCGGCTCGATGGGCCTAGATAAGGGTTGAATTTCGCGTCCAAATGTATGACCAAGCTCTACTAACTCCAGAAAGCCGATCCACCCCTTAGAGGTCCGCCATATAATAATTGCATCATTTTTGGTACTTTGCCATGACAAAAATCATCGATTTATTTCCATTATGTAAAACTTATAAATTATTACTTGAAGTATTTTTTTTGCGTGAGTAAAATACCAAAAACGATCATTTTTTGCAATTTTTGTATGGTGTACCTCTCAGGAAGTGTCCCGGGGGCTGAACCACAGACATGGTTGGATTGCCTTACAAAGTTAATAGGGGTCGGTCATACATTTGGACGCCATTGGGGCACTAACTTTTTGAGCCCAATTTTAGAGACAATTCAATTCATATTTGGACTGATTTGTAAGTGACTCAGTTTTTTTTAAGCGTGCGTCAAAAATGGACATCAGCAAAGAAAAACTACCTAATATTTCACAATTTTTGTTCGATAAAGGCAAAACCGCAAGCAAGGTGGCTGAAAATGTGAATAAATTTTATAGTTTTGATACTGTTACAGCCAATTATGCGCAATTTTGGTTTTGTCGATTCCATTCCGGTAATTTCGATGTCAAAGACACATCCGTACTGAAAGGCTAATTGTCGACAAAATCACGAACATTGTCGAGTCCGTCCGTCCTGTACGCATTGTTTCGTTGTATAAAATTTACACAAAAAACCATTTGTATGAAGCTTTGGCCAATAAAAGATGAATTTTGTTCGATCAGGACAACGCAGGCCATGTGTGTGGGACTCGACGGAAGCTCCAGGAGCTTGAACGGCGCATATTTGATCGAAATCGGACCATTCTAACTATAGTAATTAAAGCCTTCAATTTCATGTAAAGTAATAGATTTCTTTTTACTATTATATAACATATATAAATCGACATACCTCTCCGACTTCTTGCCGAACAAGATCAGCAGCTCGATATACGTCATTCCGATTGGATATGTCCACAACGTAGCCCTTACACCTGACTGCAGTATTGTTGATATTTTGTCTATTTGCTGGTAAAGGATAATCCTCCGATATCTGCCGAGCCGTCTCTTCCATTACTAAATGACATAAATTAGGTATAAGACAAATAATCGAATACGAATTGTTATATACAGATACACACGCATGTACCCATTATATATAATAATAATAATAATAATAATAATGATAATAATAATAATAATAATAATGATAATAATAATAATAATAATAATAATAATAATAATGATAATGATAATAATAGGTACTGTCTTTAAAGACAGAATCGTAAAAGATAACAAACAACAATTTGATTCAGCATGGTGTGAGAGAGTTCCTTCGTAGTTAAAACTGCATAATATAAGGTTGCCCGAATTGTGGTTTTGAATCCTTATAATTACAAAGCCGAAAGTATCTTAAATACATATGTATAATGACTAACTTAATAATTAAGTAATTTATATTATGCTAATTGTTGCATATAAACAAGTATTTATGTATTCCTCATCATGTGTTAAAAACAATAGAATTTAAAAGCAGTAGTACAAGACTTGTTTTGAAGAACTCGTTAACAAAGACACAAAGAAAAACGACCGCAAACCTTTTCAATAAATATCAATAAAGCAACGTAAATTTATGCAGTGTTTATATCGTATTATAGCCTCCTTTACTTAAACAGATTTGATCTGTTTGAATATCTTAAATACACAGTTTAGTTTATATAAATCCAGAATCTACATTTTTTATTTAAAAATAATTGGTGCACTTGCCACATTAAATCAAAGGCGATCAGCGAATATCATATATGTATATTTAGAATATATTCGACTCTATATATTCCATTTTGTCTCTTATTATGTTCCTTATAATAATAATATTTCAACTTGATCTATAGAACTGCACCTAACTAAGTGGAAGAAGTATGTGTGATATGAAATCTATGAAAATAATATGCAAAATAATACTTCTACTTCTCTCCTAACAAACAATTTTATATGCTTAGTGTATACACAATTCATTAGTATATTGGTATATAGTATCCTGGGCTGATGTCATGCAGTAGTGATATTGGTTTTCACATGGAAATATAGATAGCAACATGTTTCCAAGTGAAAATAGCCCTCATCCGGCATTGCTAAATCGCAATGATAAAATTGGTTACATTCTTGAACCGACATAGTATTAAGTCAAATTAGCCCATCTTAAGTTCTAATTGCTTTTAAAAACAAAAACAATGAAAAAAATAATATAGTATCTCATTTTATGAAATGAAAATGATTAATTTCACTTTCTTTAGGCTTTTCCTTTCTTTCAAATGTATAATTTGAATGTTTATGTTTTAACACATCTGCTATGTGAATTTACACAGATAGCAGACACGTAAAATATAAATATTTAAATAACACATTTTTAAAGAAACTAGCAAAACATGTTATATTTTCAACTCGGATATACTCTATATATGTACGAGATAGTATAGACTTTAACTGTTCTGAAAAAAATTAGAAGAAAAAAATATCTCACGTTATTTGGAAATTATGAGCTTTTAAGTGCAACCTGAAGCTTTGGTAAAATTATCCCAATTTTTCGGTTATTGCAGTTTAGTTTTACTAATTGTGTTCATTTCAATTTTAGAACCATAACCGTCAATAACTCTTCTAGGACCAAAAATAATAACACTTTTGCTCCAAGTTTTCAAGAATCAAAACTTTTGTAAATTGTATCCAAACATACATTTTTTATTATCACTTTTATTTACAACTGTCCAGTAAAGGACATTCAATAAATTTGACGAATTTACAATAGTCGGCCGAAAACACACACCTATTAACATACATTTTTTCTGAGATATGCCAAAATATTGACAAACGTCTGAAACGTAAATTTTGTTAAACTATGAGCGTAATTTTTTTTACAATCGGTCGACTTTGAGAAGGGCTTTAAAAAAAAGAAGTAAAGTGTGTTGGCTACTTTCATCAAAAGTTGGCGCATTTTATCATGTTTGTAAAATGGTAAAATACTTGTTAATTTTATCATTGAAAATTTTCGAAAATTAATAAAAGTTAACCACAATAATCGAAAAATGGTCACAATTTCACCAAAGCTCTAGGTTGCATGACAACGTAAAATAATTTTATTTTCTAAATTTTTTCAGTACAGTTAAGGCCAATAAGACTTGACGTCCAGATCTGAGACACACACACACATATAGATATTAATATATAGATAATAAAAATATTTCGCATTTGTAACTAAATTAATTTCTGAAATAACTTTATAATTAGGTATGCTTATTCATACATTTTTATAAAAAAGTTGGCATTTGTACCAATTTCTATGCTAGTTTTTAAAATATTACTAAATTATATAGAAAAATTAAATTAGCAAAAAATTATCTAATTAAAATCTAGTAATTATTTAAAGGCATTGTAGTTAAAAAATGAACAATTGTCAGATCGATTACAAAAATATGTGTGCAAGGAATCAACCTTCAACTTGTTCCCAGGTCATAACAAATTGAATGCTTGGTCGGTTAATCACGATTATAAAGATATCAAAAAGGTGTCCGTACTTATATATACATGGTTGCGATCGCGTGCAATAAATGCAGTTCGCTAAAAGGGGACGGTTCAGCGCGTTCAGATGTTTTGCATCTATCCGGGCGTCCTTGGCGCTGCACATTGCTCAACCGAGCCGGATTTCCCATCGATCTGCATAGTTCAAGAGCTAGCACACATTATAGAGTAACACTTTCTACACAATCGTACGTTGTCATATTGTCTCATAAGTGGAGATACTTCAAACTCACAACACTACCAGTAAATGGCACTTCGCCTATTGGAAGTTGAAAGAACTTTACGACGGACAAATCAGTAATGGATGTGCGGTGCGTCCTGCATTGTAACGACAAGGTAATCGCGTAGCGTAAAACAAACTGACATATTGTAGCACTGATGACTATTTACGCTTGAATATACAAATAGCAATCCGAAATTTTATTGGTCCTATAATCTTGTGACGACATCCTATTAACGTGGCTTTTCAAATAGATGGCAACCCAAAGGTTGGCTTTACCTGTGTTCGACATATTTTGTTGTATTTGAACGTCTCTAACATGTTATCTAGCAAACATAATGTTAATAATATTCAAGTAAAAATCAATGTCACTACTCCTGACATCAGGCTGTACAAAGTGAGTATGAAAATTGGAACTTCTAATTCCAAATCCACAGCTATCCAGTAAGCCACGGGAGAGCCCCAAATTAAAAAATATGTTTGAAATTAAAAATATTCCTCACTTAGGGCCCTCACGTGTAATCAAGTTGAGGTTTAACTCAGCTTACGGTCCTTTGAGCAGATCAACCATTATTTATTTATTTATTTACTGATGTATATTGAAACTATACACTAAATAAATTGACAAAGCTTTGCGTAGTAAAATTATTTTTGATCTCACTTATAAATATTTGAAACAAGTTTAAGCATTTAAGATTACTAGTTTTGACAAGACGGCATTATGAAAATATTTATCACCATGATTTTTACACAAAACTAATCAACTGATGTCTGTTAATGGCAAAGGCTCAACCATGGACTAGTAAAAACACCAAATTTGATAAATCACCACATATCCTTTTTTCAAACATCATTTTAAAAAAAGGTTTAATCCGTACATTCAAATTTAGATACATATGTATAATCATTATTTGATATTCTTCGCTTGTTTGTTATATAAAACTCCAAAATTATAGTATGATATCAAAGGCATCAGCATTAGAAATGCTAAAAACTGAGTTAGTGAATATTATAATCCTAAAAACGTGTAAAAATAGTATTATTAATTTATTATACTTTTTAGGATCCAGGAGGCAACTGTAGACAAACATTACTCAAGTAATAACATATAAACGATAAACACAATAAAAATCTAAATATTACTCCAGCTGTGACATCGAAAACATTATAATAATTGACTAAAAGCTTCTGTGCTATATCAATGTTGCGACAAGGTTTATTTAACTATAATAGAGTGCTTCGATTTCATCAAATTATGTTTAACCTTTTTTAAAAATACATAAATAAAGTTTCTCAATATGCCCAGAAAGTTTCCAGATGACATATGTCATAAGATGCAATAATTATTCCGTTCCTCTATTGCATTTTAATGAATTCTCCATCTCATTTGCTATGTTAAGAAATATGATATAAATAGTATACCATCCATATCAAGGTCTTTTTGATATAAACAAATCTAATATATTTTCAACTAAAAATTGTGTAAATGATTATAAAGGTACAAATAGTAGAAAATCTCTTGAACAGTCATTAAAAACAAGAACTAGCAATCAAAATATGATTTTAATCTATGCAAATGCACATTATAAATCATATTCGAAAACATAATATTCTATTCATTTGTAAATGCAATCATAAAACCAGAGTATTCCAAATAACAATAAAACAGTTATTAATTTTGTTATTCAGAAACTTTCTGTCAACTAATAATAATTTTGTTGTTACATCGTTTATGAAGCTTAAATTTAAAATAGAGTATTTATAATATAGAGCAAAGTTTTATCTTTTATCACTATGCTAATGAATTTCCCAAAATCAATTTTCCAAACTTTACAAGCAAATTATATCGTTTAGAAAATATAAACAATGCAGACAGTTTTCGAGTTTAAAAAAATACATTTAAAATCCTGCCAGAAAAAGATTCCTAAATTCCGGAATTTATTGCAGCATTTAAATTTTGTTTATGCTTATAAAGATGATACTTGAGTCAAGTTATAAAAGTGTGAAATACTCTACCTTACAAATCACCTTATATTTATGTGATTTTAATTATGAATAATATTTATCTCATGCTCATACAATGATAGAGAGTTGAGATATAAAAGAAAAAAGCTTAAAGTCCAAAAAAAGTATTCTTTAAAAAAATATAGCATCTTTTAATAAATGGCAAGGTTATACGGTATGCAAAACATATATTTAATACTTTTCCTGTATTATTCTTGTTATGATCGGTATTTTATTTTATTATTCTCTCACACTATTACTTATTTAGGGTCACTTATAT